CTATCGCCATCGACGACTATGACTTGGATACTGTTGACAGATTCACATATCTGAGTTCCAACATATCGAGCACCCTCTCAATGGAGAATGAGATAAGTGGGAGGATAGGGAAGGTCGCAACTGTTATGGCCAGACTGAAGAAAAGAGTCTGGTCAAACGCCAAACTCACAACAAGAACTAAGCTGCAGGTGTACCAGGCCTGCGTACTGAGCACACTTCTGTATGGATGCGAGTCATGGACCACATACTCTAAACACGAAAGAAGGCTCAATGGCTTCCACCTCAGATGCCTGCGCCACATCGTTGACATTAAATGGCAAGACAAAGTCCCCAACACGGATGTCCTGTCCCAAACAAACATGTGTAGCGTCCCNCCCCCCCCACCCTCAACTTGAAAGAAAGAAAAGAATAAAAATGGGCACTATCCAGTACAAAAGACTGTTTCTGGTAAGCGTCCACCTTTTTCAGTACAGATGTGTTCATGATGGCCTACCGCCTGTCACTGTGCAAATTTGTTCACTATGGCCTACCGCCTGTCACTGTGCACATTTGTTCACTATGGCCTACTGCCTGTCACTGTGCACATTCGTTCATTATGACCAACCGCCTGTCACTGTGCACATTTGTTCATTACGCCTGTCACTGTGCACATTTGTCCATTACGCCTGTCACTGCACATTCCCCACTTCTTGGTGATTTCACGGCACCTAGTCTCGAAGTGTGGAACAATTGCTGGCAAGATTGGCTCATCCGCTGGCATCATGACTGGCAGGCGCCCGACGTGGGTGCGGCATGGGGGCGGCGTCGTGCACAGATATCTTGTTTGGATTTTATTTTGTTTAACCAGATTTTGAATGAAGCCGGGGTGCCACACTTCGTTAAATTAGCCCCAGGGGCACGGTTTCACATCAATGCATCATACTCCCCTATGTTTCAATCCCATGGCGTCCCTGCATGACAAGGTGAGCTTGGAGATAAAACTGCATTACTGTGTCACACTATCAACTGTTTGGTGTTTATTTATATATGAATGAGCTATGCTGAACGTAACGCCAAAGAACTGAAAAGAATTAAATGCGTTTGGATTCTTAAATACAATCATAGTTATTTTGTATTATTTTACGGAAATCGAATAAATTTAAATGCTCAAAAAAAAAAAAAGATAAAAAAATATCAACAAAAAACCAATATAATTACGCGTTTTTATTAATAGTTTAAGTATTATTGTTATAAATTACAAATACATCTAAAGTTACAACTAAAGAATTATCTTAAGCATTTTAACCGAATTTAAAAGTTATATTAAAAAATATTTTTTTAAAATGTATGATCTAAGAATTACATCGTATTCATATTAATCAGTAAAACCCAAAATATCACTTGTTCTGGTGCGTTTTTAGTGCCTTGTTAATATTGTGAAATAAAATTAAAATTAATTGCTTCTAAAGAAACACGCAATTGACGTCATACCGTGAATCGCCTATATTAGTAAAAACTCTAAAGTTTCTTTGATTAAATAACGGCGCGTTACGAAAATGATAATGGTTTTTTTTTTTCCCTTTTCTGAAAAGTAAAATTAATAAATATAATTGATTGCTTTTTAATAAATTGTTAATAAAACACACACACATTTTAGCTTTGTATTTTTAGCATGCAATATGTTTTTACTTTCATTAATTTTAAAAATATACTTTTATTAAATTTACTAGAATATACGACCCGATATTATCCGGTACTAATGGTAGGCCATTTGCGATAATTTCTACCTGCTATTTTCAAAATATTAATCACAATTCCTAACTTTTAAAAGAGGTGTCTATGCAATGATATTTACGCTTCTGACATCATTAATTTAGAGAAGTATTTATCTGCTATATACATGGGCGCCCTCAGAAATTTTCTAGGGGGGGGGGCAAAAAAATCGATTAACTTTCCAGGGGGGGGGGACAATTTTTAGTAATGTTTTAATATAGTTTTAATTTACTGTAGCGTATTTGTATGGTGAACGAACGGACAGGACATCAGCTTAGTTACTTTCTGTTTATTTTCTCTTTACTTTAATAATTTTTGTCTTTCTATTTTTGTCTAAATTTTTTTTTCAATCCAGGGGGGGGGGCAAGTGCCCCACCTTGCCCCTACCTGCGGGCGCCCATGGCTATATATTATACGACTACCCTACTCCCTTTCACGCCCCTAAACTACTTTTTACCCTCTAAACGTGACCTTAAATTACCCATTCTAGAGTATGACTAATTATATCACTTTTGTCACTAAAGAAGTTAATTGAGATCGATCTCTAAGCTATTTTGTCATAAATTGGAAATACATTCTAAATAAAATTTAAATAACTATTTTAAGGGTTTTTTTCCGAAATTGAAAGTTAAGATATTTTTCTTATTACCAATAAATTATTACAATGATTATTCATAGCCATATTTATCGGGAAAACTAAAACATCTGGGGGTTTTTTTTTGCTTTTTTTTTTTTTTTTTTTTTGTGGGGTTTTTAAATTTTGAAATTAAAAATTTAACTTTTTTTTTCCATTTCTGTAAAAAAAACTCCAAATAAAAATTTTAAATTAAACTTAAAAAAAAAAAAAAAA